CTCATAAATCAACAAGACCTGAGGGATCCATCGTTGGCCTCTACAGAACTCTCCGCGGGTCATTTCAGGACAGGAACAATGCACAAATCGTCAGGCAGGTGTTTTTCATTTTGTGGCCGATTTGAATTGTTTAATTTGCCTTGTAGATAGAACTGATTGGAGCTGCATACTGTAGCATAAATTACACTTGATTTGTCCCTGTGGTGAAATTAAATTAGACAACGAGAGTGCGGGATCATTAAAGAGAGACCGTGAACACTGCAGGCTGGAAGTCGTAGAGCTTGAAAATAAATACACAACAATGAAACAATCAAACCGCAGAGGCCACTATACAGGACAAAATGAGGAGACGGAGGGAAAATACAGCAGAACAGCTTGTTAAACTATAAGTCACCAGGGGAGCACAACCTAAAATAATAAAGATGTATACTGTAAATACTGAAATGTGCAGTGAGCTGTAACAGACCTGATGAATTGACTTTTAATTCTCCTAACATGTAGCGTAAAAAGCAGCCCAGCTGCGGTTCTGGCAAAGTGCCACCACAGAGCCCAGAGCAGCTCGAGCAGTTTGTAAGCAGCCAAGATGATTCATAAACTCTAAAAGACGCCTGAGACTGTGAAGGTAGCAGGAGAAACTGTCCGAGGAGGGATCAGAAGCACCGTTTCTGTAATAACACTACACAGAAAACTGGACCAGTGAACTGCTCAGGCTGAACTGGAGACTTTAGAGATGTTTGAAAGAAAAAAGAAAGATTTATTGTTTTTGTAAGAGGAAACGGGAAGCCAACAAATTCTAAATACATTTTTTTTTTTAAAAAGCTGTAAATTAAAAAAAAAAAAAAAAATCCCACGGCCAGCAATAATTAAACAGTTTACTTATCGTAATTAAAGAACAGTGCTGAAGTTTTGGTCCTGACTTCTCTCATTTGACTTCCTGCATGATTTTTGATTGATTTTTAAAGTTTTAAAGGTCTAACTCAAAATGTCTGTGAGCTTCTTAACGTCTACACTTCAGGAAGAACTGTGGTCACCCATCCAGTTCCTTGTAGACTTTCCAAGGTTCAAACAAAACTATAGAAGTGATCAGACTCTTGCAGTTATGCCCAAATCTGTGGAGTAATTTACTTCTTCATATATGGACCACTGATATTGTTACAACTTTTAAATCTATAAATAAGACCCGTCTTTTTTCCATTGGTGTTTGAGATCTAAGAAGAGCTGATGGTTTTATGGGTGTATGTCTTTTATTTTAGAGTTATTTCATATTATTGTTGTTTTTACCTTTTTGGATGATGAAATTTTAAAACACTTTGATCAACTGTTGCTGTTTTTATGTGCTATAGAAATAAAATTGGCATTGACTTGTATAGGTTTTGTCAATTTGTTTTAGTGGCCTTGACAGTATTTTTTATTTTTTTTTCCCCTGTTTGGCTTCTTTTCATCCATTTTCAGTCCATTTCTTGTAAAATCCAGCAAAGGCCTAACATAAGACCTGCATCAACCTTCAGCTGATCACCTGCTGTCATCAAGTTTAATCCTATAGCTCTTTGAGAATCATCTTAATGTCTGTAAACGTTGCTTTTTTTGATATTTTCATAGATTCAGTTAAAGAAATAGGAACAAACTGTTGCTTTGTTCAAGGTTCAAGGTTCTTTATTGTCATTTGCATCACATGTGGTACGTGAGGTGGAATGAAATTGTGTGCACAAGGTCCCAGTATAAAAAGAAACGGTCAATAAGGATCTAAGATATATGCTAAACGAACACTAAACGATACGCTAAAGATCTAAGATATACGCTAAACACTAATAATTTTAAATAAAACGTTATATTAAACAGCAGCCCGAACATTTGTGTTACGTTGTTAGTAAAGTGCCAAAAATCATATTTTAAACTGGTAGTTGGCAGAGTTTTGTGTTGATAACACACCAATTGATCTCCTGAGCTTAAGATACATGTTAAGCCTGAATGGTTCAGGTCAAAGTGAAACATCTCAGCAAGAAACTCCTCTGAAGATGGTCAGGTACTGGACTGAAAATGAGTGCAAAGACGGCCTTAGTTGTAAAGAAAAGATTAGAAAAATGTTCAAATAGCCTAAATGAGCACCAAAAAGTATAAGTATTAGAAGCAAAGAGTAAAAAACAAAAAGCGCATGGAATAACTTGAGTTTTTCACAGTACTGTACATATTTACTTGTTTAATGACAACCTTTTTACTGTAACAAAATAGATTCAACAAATTGAAAACATGCCAGGCTGCTGTAAATGAAGTGTGTGTGAGGGTATACTGAATAAACTAAAGTTACTGACATTGGGAGAAATTCAGGCGGCAAAAACAGCAGGCGAACGAGGCAGGATGCATAAAATAGTAAATGGTTTTATTCTTTTTTTGAACCATGCCACTGAACACTGACACATACAGAGTTGTGCCTGAATCCACACTGAGAAAACACTTTCACACACCGTGTTACAAAGCTGTAATGAAGAGGGATTTTACTGCACGCATGGCAAGAACAACAACCCTGATTGGACGCCAGGTCGAACATTGATCTGGTCCTGAGGTAGACAGACAGTGACATAATCTAAACAATGCTAATCACATCCTTCTAGGACACATCGAATAAGACAGCTGCATTATCACAACATACAAAGATAAAAAAAACAACCCTTTTCAAACAAAAGTGCTCTGTTTCTTTTGGTCCTCCGAGGAAATTCATTTATAGTGCATGTTCATGTAGAGTAGGTACAGTGAATGGGTTTTTTATGGCACCGAGTGTTGTTGGCTACCTTTTGAAGGCATGTGTGATGCCCAAAGACGCCAAGATGTGCTATACACACAGTTTTCATCCAGAGATGTCAGTCCGTTGTCACTTTGAAGGAAACAGTTTCAGACAAGCGTGTACCTTTTTTTTTTTTTTTTTACATTGAAATTGCTTGGAACTTGCATCAGATTATCAGCCACTATCACAGTATGTTGCTTCCTGTTGCAATGTTCAGACAAAGTGGATCTACATGGCAGTCTATTTTTTTATTTAACGATAAACAAACACCCAAAAAACACGTACTGACAGCACAGACCCGTGTACTCAAGCACATCAATGCTCTACCTACAAAAGAGGCACAAGGGAGGGGTCTTAATGAAATCATATAAAACACACATTAGGATGTTTTGTCAAATTATATCAAATGTAAACAGATCGCAAATTACCGTAATACAAAAATACAACATGTTTAACTCTTATCAGAGGGAATCACCATGACAGTTTGTACGTTACAGCTACACTACGACGGACAATAACCTGATCATAGTAATCCAAAATCAGAATTTTCTTTGTTTTATAAAAAAAACTTATTGTCATGTCTCGTTTTCTACTAGAAAACTTTGATGTTTATATGACAATTATATTTAAACAATGATTTAAAAAATACTACACTTAAAAGCCTTGCAGAGGCTCGTCACTTTTATCCACACTGTTTGACCATGAACATTATATAAACCTACTGATGGATGAATAATGTTTCAAGTGAATTTCAAGCAAACGGTGGAAACACGGGGAGTGGGAAAGGTAGAGCTCGCTCTACTAGAAAACATCCCGAGAGACAGACGGCGTGATTAAAACCAGCACATATTTGGTAACAAACAACATATAAATAGCAAAAAAAAAAACTTCTACAAGAGCAGTTCAAATGGTGAGTGAGCTACCTCGAATCAATAAAACACCCGACTGCATGAGAGACAAGGCAATTAAAGAGATCAAGCTTATGAGGTCAGCCATTCAAGTAAAACATGCAGAAAATAAACAACTCCGAAACAAAAATCAAACCGAGTGAACAGAGAGAAAAAAAAACTAAGAAGTCACTGGAAGAAAACTTCAGCCAATCGAGCCTTTGTGGAATTATTTTTAACATCTGCTGCACAATCGTAGACGATGACCCTGATTGTTTCAGAGCGGTCAGTCCAAAAGCTCCTGCTACACATGAAGGCAAAGACACATGGCAGTTTTTCACCACCGTGAAGGCTCTACAGATGGTGATCCAAACTCCACGAGAGGCTAAGTTACTTAAATCATCAGAAAACCGTCTGCTTTTTATTAAGTTTTAAAGAAAAAAAAAACAAAACTCTTGAATCTTTGCTGCTTTCTGTTGCTCTAAATGTCACAATCGGAGTTTTATTTGCCAAATAAATATCAGCAAATTAGACATTTACAACTATATTTTTATTTTAGGACGTCACCTGTGTGAAGTTGCCCCCCCCCTCCCCCCACATTCTTCAAATCTAACGAAATTTGTGTCCAACGTTTATGCTACGTTTGTGCAGCAAAGTTGTTTGTCTGTGCTGCTGTCATTTTAAATATATTAATACAATTTTCCAGGGATCGTCAGAGGTCAACCAACATTTACAAAATCAAAATAATTGTTGTCAATAAACTCTACTACGTTGGTGCTGCTTTTGCTTTGAACATATTGCTAAACGTTTAAAGGTAAATAGGTCAACCAGCCCCCTCTGCCCACCCCCGACCCTAACCCATCTTACAAATGAAATTCACAGTTTTGAACAGATTTTCATTGACCTTTGATGACCTTTGGAAACTTTTTTTAATTAATATCTTTAAAATGATAGCGGCACAAACGAAAAATTTTGCTGCACAAACGTTTGACACCAATTTTGTTAGATTTGAAGAAGGTGTGTGTGTGTGTGGGGGGGGGGGGGGTGGCAACTTCGCTCAGGTTAGGATGTGACCTCGTTGTCAAATTTCAGAACAATCTTCACGGGGACTGATAACTGAACTTATTGTTAGTTGCAACCTTAATGTGTAAACACATTTGTCTCATTGTCAGGGAAAACCCTTTTTTTCTCCAGGAGAAACAAATGGATTATAAAAAGTAGAATTTTATTTGTATATCTTTATAGAAACATGCTTTCATTCAGCATTAAAAGCAGCAACACAAGTTTTCACCCAGTAGTGACGATGTGTGAGTGTGTGTCAGTCCAAGTCCTGCTCAGACGTAACAGACATACAAGTATGTTTTTTCTATCCTCCAGTCGGCCGGCACCTCCTCGGGTTTGTGGCCCTTCATGTGCTTCTGCATGGCGGCCAGACTCGGGCAGAAGTCCTGGCAGATGGTGCACTGGTACGGCGACGCTCCGTTGTGCGTGCGCAGGTGCTTGATCATGGCCGAGTAGTCTCTGGACCGCTGATGGCACAGCTTACACTCAAATGGCTTCTCACCTTGGAAAAACGTTCAAACAAAAACTTAGTCGAGTGAGAGATCTGCTTCTGTTTCAGTCCAACAAACTGTTTGTGCCGAAAACTAACGTCAGGATCAGATTGTTTTGAACTCGATAGTTTGAAACAGAAAGTTAAAGTTCTCTAAAACGAGGCCTGTAACAAAACATGAGGTTTGTGTTGTGGCTGAGTGGTTAGGGCAGTCGTCTTCCAGTGCAAGAGTTGTGGGTTTGACTCCACCAGCAGTCACATGCTGAAGTGTCCCTGGGCAAGTCACTGAACCCCTCGTAGCCTCCGATGTGTGTCCCATCGGTGTATGAATGTGATAAAGCTCTGATTATTCTTTGTATAGATCTAGTAGAGTGCTGTATGAATGGTTAAATGAGGCACACATTGTGTTGTAAAGAGCTTTGAGTATCTTGATAAGATAGAAAGGTGATATATAAGTACAGTCCATTTATCCATTTACCATTTAATTTATATTTACAGCCAAAGGTGTAAAAAAAAACACGAGGTGACCACAGGGTGTCACACTTGAGCAGCAGCAACTGACGCTGGGAATAAAAGAGGCATAAACTGGAAAAGAAAACTTACAGAGCGCTCATGATAGCTCAAAGATGTTTCTTTGAGAAGGAAATAACAACCATAGACTTTGATTTTTATGTGTTCTCCCAATATGAGAATGTGCTTTCTTCATTAAAACATAGTTTATTCTGGCAGTCTCTGACACCTACATGATAACAGCAAAGAGAAAAGAAACATTCTGCATTTTAAACACCAGTTTGCATCTGTTGATGAAATATGATAATAATGAGATAAAGAAAACCTTTCAGGCAGTTGAAGCCATCTGTGGAATATTTTTCTCAGGCAACATTCACAATGATACGGAGAAAGCATGAAGGACTCTCCAATCTGCTTTTGTTAAGGAAAATAACTTTAAATGTGCATTTATAGCAACAATAAATAATTATTTCTGTGTACTTTTTAATGTTTGCTGTAACAAATGTTTTGGGTGATTTTGTAAAAGTAAAGAACCTATAAAATCCTAAAAGCTGAGTCAAAACTAAAACGACACATTTGAGCCATGCTCATTAAAAAGAATGTTAACTGATGAAATAATTAAATAATCTATTAAGAAGTACTGAAATAACTCAATGTTGTGTTTCCCCACTCATGGTTTTGGCACAAAGATTGTATATTTTAATAATATTTTCAAACATTTTTATATATATTTTTTAAATTATTATTCTGACCTGGTAGACGTACCAGACTGGATCATTTAGAGGGTGCTGCTGAACCACAGCTGACTGAAATCACTTTATATTTATACAGAAGTGAAACAGACTGATATTCAATATTTTGATTAGGTGCAGATTCAGTGCTGAAGAAAGAAAACACACACAGACAAACACACCTGTCAGTCATCATGCATTTATGAGTGACGGACATGTTATAAAATGATTTATTGTTTTTATTTAAATGGGTTTGAATACTAAGGCAGCTGGGGTGGGGTCATCTCTCCACTGATATAAGTAGTTGTTTAAAGAAATCTTAGCTACATAACATACATTTCCAGAAAAACTCAATTATTATTTAGCTTTTTTTAATTAAAAGCTCCATGAGAAGACTTAAATATAAAATGTTGTTTTCTGTAGAAAAATGAGGATTCTCCTGTAACAAGAAGCCAGTTTAGTGTCTAGTAAATGTTAGCTGATTTAAAATGGAAAAACTTTTACTGTGATTTAATATGAATGCGATAAAATAATAATAAGTGACGCCCAAATGATACAGTTTTCCCTCGCTACTTCGCGGTTCGACTTTTGTAGACTTACTCTTTCTCAATTTTTCAAAGTAAGATTGGACATGACCCACAACTGGCTGATTGATGGATGAGCCACATGAGTGGCATGGATTTAAAATTTTTTTTAGATAAATTATTTTAAATTATTTAGCACCTGCGACACTTGAGTGCAGCCCACATGTGCAGGGAGAAGCTCCCTCCGGCAGCATGTCATGATCTCCGCTCTGCCGTGGAGAAGTGGGCGTGGCCAAGAGCGCTGGCAGGTGGCAGCCGGTGGCAGAGAGAGCAGGGATCATGACATGCTGTGCTCTTTTAGAGAGTTTGGAGTTTAGAAACATTGTTTAGAGTGTGGGAAGGGTTTAAAATGCCTTTATATATATATATATATATATATATATATATATA